ATATAAAAGATTATTTAAATATTTGTAATTGGTTTTAAGATAATAGAATCGCAAAACTCACTAAATATGTTTTTTTTAATTGTTTTTTTGGCTCTTTACTAACTATCGATATTATAAATGTTGGATAATTAGTAATAATAACCAATCTATTAAATTTTATTAGACTTTATAGTGTATGAACATTGGAAAATTGCAGAACTTTGTAACCCCATAACTTTTTATGGGGGTCTGACCGCCGCAAAATTTTTATGGTGGTTCACTTAGGAAGACCTCCTCTTTCAATCCCCCCTGCCCCTTCGGGGATGGGGGAAATTATCTAGACCTTTACCGAAGTTAATAGTAAAAAACTACATACAAACTGTTTTTCAAATTTTTAGGTAAATAATAGAGGTGCGTGTTCAACCATTTTTAGGAATGACGAGCTTATGATGATGCTGAATAAAAATACATAGTTATTCTTGAGTTTCTCAAAAATTAATTTTTGGCTAGTCTTTGTAATAATTCCCATTGATAGTAATGACTAAAGAAAAAGCATGAGGGATTGCGTTATAGGTATATGTATAAGGAAAATAATTTGAGTACACTTTTCGCTGTATGGGAGGTATTTATATATAGAAATGAGAGGGTGGGGGTGCAAACCATATACCGATAAATGAATGAGTTAAGGTTCCTAGACTTCTAAAGGATTTATGCGAGAATAATAAACGTATACAATGTATTAGAATTTGCGCTGATAGTATTATAAATATTATTATTGAACTACCCTAGTGCGAAAACAACAATATTGAAAAAAAAATGATGTTGATGAATCAAAGTCTGGCGAAATAATAAACAATTGCAAATAATGTTTAGTGAAAATCTTTGACTTGTTTTGCAGTTGATTTACTATAAATTTTCATCAAACAAGAGTCACGTCACAAATCAGATTAAAAAATTGTCGGAATAGCGTTTAAATTTGAGCATTCATACAATCATTACAAATCATTTTTAAATTTAATTGTGTTTCTACGTCGTCATTCATTAATCTCGTACAATCACAAATGGCATGAATTTATTTAGACTTATTGATTAGAAAATGATGTGTACAGTAAATTAATAACAAGATCCGATACCTTCACAACAACACCCGATATAGGTACCTATCGTATTTTCTAAAAATTGACGTTGTCTACTGTACTAGGTAGTTTCTATTGGATTATCAAAATTAAATCTAATCAGTCCTGCTTTGAATTTATTTACAGTTCTTGTTTGTGTATTATTATTCGTCAGCCACAGCTCCGTTTCCCGTGTCCTTTGGGACAATAAAAAATTAGCAGCAATTTAATTTAGAGACGTTGTAATAAATACTTGTAATTTTCTTCGTTTACGTTTAATATTCCTTTTTATTAATAACGTTTGTTTTTCGGCAAATAATAGAGTTAAATTCGCCATTATCTTTGTCGTTTACGATGATGCATTACGTCCATTAGCTTGGCTTGTTCTTGGGTCGTTTCTGTTTTAAACTTCCTTCATTGAATGTAAGAAATATTTTAATAAAATTGTAAGATTTTAATATTTGGCCGTTCCATTCCGAGTGCCGATTTTATTCAATATTTCCCGTTGTCTCCGTAAATTTCCTCTCAAATCTTTTATGTTCCTTTCTTTTATGACTGAACCTAATGTTAAATTGAAGTGCTTTTACCTCTCCTTAGCTTATACTGTCCCGTTCTCTGTTATATAGCCTGTTTTATGTCATCATAATCCGAAATTAAATCGTTTGTTACGGACTCTTATTCAAATGCTGCGTAAGCATAATTTATTTGATTTTAACCTCCCACGCCCCCCTTTGGAATCGAAAGGGATGTAGGGGTCCGATAGAATCTTAACAAGGGGGAAGGGAGTAAAAATTTCTCAAAAAATACCTGTCGTGGTTCGTAACGTTATCCAAAAAAAGCATCTCAACGCGCAATAACAATACGTGAAATCAAAAGAGGAGAGGAAGGGGTCTGGCATAGGTAATCTCACCAAATCTCATAAAGGGGGAAGGGGTCCAATTTTTATTTAGGTTTATAAGATTTTCCAAATTTTTGTACATAGAAAACAGTCCACGAAACTTCCAATCAATATCTTGTTAAAAGATACACAAGAGCCCGTCTTGAACCTGTAATAAATAAGGGCTTTCTCGTTATTCTGTATAATAGCAGTGTCTATGCACACATAGGTTCGCGACTGTAGAATAAGGGCGACACACAACAATATAATTAATCATCGAACGTTAAATTACCTTGGCGTAATTCAATAAACTATAATTATAATTAACTGCGATAAGAGCCAATGCTATTCAACAATCTAGCTTTATAAGGGAAAGAGAAAATCGGTACTATCGGTATCACAAACATATACTGTACCTCTAATAAAAAAATTTAATCGTAACTGTTTTCGTATTTCGTTTTCATATATCTAATTGTAGGCTCTAAAGGTCGTCATCTTTAGTATGATAATAAGTGTTACGTCTGGACGTTGTCGAAGAGCCATATATTGTAACATATGCCATCAGTCCGAAGACTGGTTGAGCATACTCTTTCCCATCCTGAGGGAATATTTCTATTCCCCCAAAACTGGAATATCCTTCATCCCTAGCGAACAGTAATCTAATCTAGGTCTTCCTCATGTCAGACCTTCCTATCTCTCCTTTTCCTTGTTGGCTACCATAGCGCCCCTTGTTCTCCTACTTTCTTTCCTGGTAGCTGTGGCAAGTGAATGATAACTTTCGTTAGCTGAAAAGATCATCATCGTTTGCTATTATTTTGACGGTATACACTGTTTAACGCCCGCATGCGGTCATCTGCGGCAGAGATACATTCAGGTGGTCAAAGAACCAAATATAACTCGCGAACCACGGTTTGCCCACTACTGGTCTAGGTTGAAGTTGTCTCCAAAGATAACGGCCAGAAAGCCCGAAAGCTAATACCTATTACTGTACCAAAAAATTTGGGGTTTATAAATTAGTAAAGACATTTTGTATGTAATGGCAGTATTTGTATCTAATAATAACAAAGAACGAATAATGACCTTTCCAGTCTAACCTGGAAGTATTTAGGTGATGATTAAATTAATTAAAAGAGGGGATTCGTTCTGATTGTTTACGCTTAGCAGTTTTCGTATTCAAAGAGCGAAGCGGTTCGGTATAAATGTAGAAACAACCGAATTGTTACTGAATATTGTTTTGTGTATGCCTTTGTGTTGAATAATAATCTGCTGCTGCGGCATTAAAAGCAGCAAAATCGCGAAACAGCTTTAAAAAGCTTATTTTCAGAAACGTTATTAATAACTACTCACAATGTACGGTTGAATGTATCGTATTTTCAGAAGAAATTTACTCATTTATTGAATAAATTGAGCAAGCAGGATAATAAAAAAAGATTAATGGTTTTGGTGGAACATTCTTTTTGAATATTCGCATTAAATAAAGCACTAAAACGCTTCTTACACGTACGACAAATGTTTTCCTATGGGGCTTCTAAACAAACACCCTAAAGGGTCTTCTTTTAGTATGCTGTCTACCCCTCATTAAGAATAATATACAGAAGGAACATACACTTCTGAGAAACAGGTAAAGGAGAAGGTTTTCCTACCGTAACCTTCGTTTAGGTTGGGATCATAAGGTTACGGTGGGAAAAGACAACGTGAACGAAGTGAGTAGCACCCTCTGATGTATGCGCATTTTAGTTACGTTATCGAACGAAACAAACACTAGCTAATATTGAGATAACCGAAATTAAAGTATAGTTTTTGTTTGTTTATATTCCCTCGTCATTCTTATCAGCAGATTCTTCTTAGCGATATTTTTTGTTCACGAATCACGATATACCTGAAAGGAAATAGGTCCATAATCCATCTTTGGAAGTTGACGAATGAGGCGTCTAAAAACATAACACACCTAATATCCCGAGAAGTTTTCACAAGCGCTGACTTAGAACGAATATCGGTTTCGTATTGCATTGTAATAAAAGACTTTCTGCTTACAATTTTCAGATATCTAGTTAAAATATAAACAAAATTACAATTACAACAATTATTTTGCTTAAGAAAGATCTATTGTGAAATAAAATAGATGTCGGCCACTTCTTCTAATTTTTGGTCTCCTATCCTTATATTCGCTCTTTCCTTACTTTTTCTTCCTTTGCATACCAGTATTTTAGTTTTAGTTTTATTTATTTTCATACAGTACTGTTTTGTCAATACCGCTTCCATTTTATTTAAAGCTATCTCTAACTCATCTTTGCTAGATGTTAATACTGCTATATCATCTGCAAATCTAAGCATACTAATCTATAATTTTTTTTTTGCAATTAACAGCATCTGGTGGCATAATAATTAATGTATGGGAAGAAACAATAAGTAAAGTAACTTATTCCATTAAGCTGAACTAAGAGAACTGTTAATAATATGCATGTATTGTACTTGATTAGTTTACGGAAATTGTATTTTACTTCTAAGAAAAACTGTAAGTCAGGGAAGCTAACAAATTATTAAAACTCCGTCTACTAACAAAAGGTTTTTCGTTACAAATCTTTTATTGTTAACCACACTGTGACTCCTTTGGGAGAAAGAAACAAACTGCAGATAGGAACTAACTTAACTAAGGAATGGGGGAAAGGGTAAATACAATTCTTTGGACAAATTAGACGATAAGAAATGGCAAATTATTTTGGTGGTTCAATTGGATCATTTAGAAAATACTGCTTAATTTGTTAATTTCTAATAATGACGCAAAATTTTTATGGAAATAGAAGAGTTGATAAATTATCGGTGGAAAAAACAAGACTTTATTTTTGGATATAAGTGATGAGTAAATCCCTATATCTTATAGGGGAGCAGTTGAAAGGCGACTTAGAATATCGGGAGCTTCAGTCGCTTCTTACTCCGATCTCACAATCAGTGTACAATGTGCTCTTTCCTTTAATGGAATTATATGATTAATAACACCTTCCTTTAGTTATTTATTTCCCTTTTAAATAGAAGCCTTCGCTCTTTCAAGTTGTACTTAATAACGCTTTCGATAATATTTTATATTTGTTCTTAATACAATTGCACAACAATTTATAACAGCATAATTTATTAACGCTTTGGAAAGCGGATTTTCGATAGGATGTGTGGATAGAAAAGGTTACAGATGACAAGGTATTAGAAAGAGGAAAGATAGGATGGTGTGGGAGAGCGCCTTCTGAGAGATGAAAGGCTACTTAAAGACATATTAGAAGCAGAAACAGGAGTAAAGAGGGCTAGAGGAAGACCTACATTATATCACTGTTCGCAAATAACTAGTTAGAAATGTGGGTTGTTCTGGTTTTCGGGAAATGCAAAAATTGACTCAGAAGGAGAGGTGCGAGTCCAATTAGTCTTCGGACTATAACGATTATCTATGTATGTGTTTTCTCGGCAACTGCTTTTTGTTAGACAATATTTAATTATCCTTTGTTTCTTTTTTAGTTCATTCAGCTTTTGAGTGAGTAACGTATCAATAAAAAAAAAAATTAACTATTCTTGCAACATTTTATGGGTTTTATGCGTCATTTTGACTTGGTCAATTATCAGACTGCTCTATTTTTGTCACCTATTTTCGGGATGGGACTTAACAAGATTTATTCCACTGTACCGCGAACGTTAACAATTTTACGGTATTTATAATAACATTCTGACTCCGTTTAAGTTTCGACTTACAATTAGACGGGCAATTACGGAATGTAGATAAAATAGTTGAAATGTAAAAAGAGGATTACCCCGTAGGAAATAAATTGGTCTGGTCCTAATGATGTCATTGTTATTTTTATTATGTTTTGCAATAGTCGATTTTTCCTTGAACCAAATTTTTAATAGATCGAATATCGCGTGTTTGAAGCTCCAAAAGGAAAGGATAATCTTGACGTTTCGTTTCCTTTTAACATGGAACAATTTACATACCGTTAGATGTTTTTTAACTATACGTAACGTATATGCGAATAAACATTTAAATAGGTACAATGAAGACTTTCTTGTAACTTTTAAATGTATGCATTATGTAGATATTGCATAAATTTAATACCTACAATGTAGGCATGCATGAATGCTCTCAAAACTTCTTAGAAGAAATACGAAATGTGTAGTGTATTTTGTTTATTTCAGGTTAGATCGAGAAGTTTAAATCATCTGGATAAATTGGAAATGCGACAAAGCACGGCTTATTCTACCGAGTCCACTTCTCTTAAGGATTCTAAGTCAGAACCTGACTGCACCAGATCATTGACGATCCTGCCTCCTAAAAATACTCTTTTAAACGATTCACAAGCCTCTGAATTCAAAAACGGACGAAAGCATGTTCTTACGAGATCTCAAGTAAGTTATTTTGCCTACTTAAAATTACGATTAAACTTTAAATAGAATTCGTACATGTTAATATACGCTACACGCATATACAGGGTGTATGTTGGGTTGCATAGTTCTTAATTTTTTTCAAAATTATAAAAACTGTTCAACAAATATTTACATACTGCAGTATTTGTTCGTATTATATTGTAATGTCATTTAAATAAAAATATAGACTGTACCTCATCAACGTTGAATATTATACTTCAAAGTTTTAAGTTCTGAATTAAAATTCACTAATTTTAATTACGACTTAACGTGCGAGTGGAAAAGAAGCGTAAATAAATCAAGAAACTAATACATATGTTTAGGCTTATACAGTTTGGTTTTCACTGGTTTGAGTTTACTCTAATAGAAAAATTACTTTCACCTTTAATTTATTGAAACCAAGAATAAATATGACGATTTTCTTGTGAATCATATAAAATAATTTTCTCTTTGTTTATGTAACTTAAATATTCTTTACTGTACATCTGCCCTATCTGGTAAATAATTAAAAGTATATGAATTTCTTCAGAATAAAGTTATGCTAAATTTAATGTGCAAGTGTTAACGTTTTTGTAGATCACTCGACGTCTGATAAATACAATTCCAATCAGTCCCAGTTGTGTAGTTTCACGTTCTCTCAATTCTCAACGATTTCAATTAAGGAAGCACTCTGAATTGTGATTATCTAATCGATACCTTTTCTAAGGCTCATCGCCCTTCGTACTCTGTTATAAGCAAAAGTTTTATTTTAAAGGAACGATTCCTTTGTTTACGATGAATAGCTACCTATCTACCTATTACACCAATTCTAAATTCGTGGTGGTGCTTTTAACCCAATTGAACTCGGAGTGTTTTTTTTGTCTAAAATCGTCCAACAGTAAATAAATTATACTTTCCTTTGTTGTTTCCTTTTAATTTTTTAATAAATAAAATCGTATATAAGTATCTATGTGCATATGCAGCATCGGTATACAGGGCGTAGGTGGTGTTACATATAAAAAATGTGTAAGTAACAGTACGATGAGACTTATGCACTTACAAATATTAAGATATTGTTCATTTTAATTACCACTATAGAGCTTTGTAACAATAATCACACAACGAGTCACCTAGTTATCGTAGTAATTGTTAGATCATGAAGAAAAGTAGTTGAAACCCTGAATTTCATTTCATTCGCCGTTTTGACGGGAAAGCTCGCAAACCAAAAAGATATGAGATTTTAGCATTTCATCTACTAAAAGATTATCTTTTGCTTTTGCCAGCCTAAAGGAAAGAATGTTGTACATGAAAACATACACACACAGTAGTTTTTGATCGAGTTTTGCCAAGATTGGACACACAAGATAACGTAATAACAGTAGTATCAGAAATGGTAATCAGTCCTTTTACGGCCACACACCTACAACACACATATCGGGGTAGAAACATTTTATTGTTTTTTTTTTTTATTATTAGGTTTAACATTATTTTATTTGATTATCTTACTTTTTTGTTGATATTTAAATTATCATTACTTATATTTTGTATTTTTTTGTCTTTTCAGAAATCTAGTAGCGAATGTTTCAGTGTTAATTTCGAAATCGGTGATGAGCCAACTTGGGACAACGAACTGTTCTTTCCAGCAATTCGTGGAGTTACTTTATTGTAAGTAAATTTAGCGCTGCTTAATTGTTTTGTTATTCAAGTTTTTCCAATGATTGCTGGAATAAACGGGAAGCGAGAAAAAAAGGAGGAACGGAAAGCGTCACGGGGCTGATTAAATTTTTTATCGAAATTCCTGTCCGTATTGTTTTTTAAAAAATGAAAAGAATTTATTAGGATCAGAACCTCATTATAATAAAAAAATTAAAACTAGGTGTAAACACTTGTCAATAAAATAATAAATTAAAGGAATAACAATTTAGGGATATTTAGTGAAATAATTATAGTTGCAACATTATTATTTAGCGACATAGGGCACGTATGACAATTTCCTAATAATTTTACAGGAGCTTCATTTATATTTTTGATATTGGTGCTATTCGAAAATGCATGAATAGCTCGTTAGTATAAATTGCTTGTCTACAATGACTTAATTTCAGGAAATTTTCAGTGTTTCGTCGTCAGTTTCCCCTGCGTAATAATTATGAATTTATTAGTTACTTATTCGAAAGCATCTTGTATTTGTTCGTTTGGTTCATTTAATTATGAAGAGAATGACGTTTTATTTTCCTTTTTGTTTTTAATTTTAGGTTCCGTCTTTGAAAATTTAGAATCTCCTCCTTCAGTTGTTGATATAAAATGATGGTAAATGCTATACCCCAGATTCCGCTCCGAATATCTTAGATTATGTAGAAAGAATAATGACTTTCGCCATTATCGGTCCTCAATTCGTAGTCATTATTCCTATTAACAATTTCCAAAAATTTACTTAACCATTATAGTTTAGTTACTTATGTATATCGTACCTAAATTATCAATTGCATATTATTTCAAATATTACTTAGGCATTAAAAAGTGATTTAAATTTTTAATTTCGAAAAGGTACATATATTTGTTATTTAAAAATCAGAAATCCGCGCACAAATCCATTCAATACTCATATTCACCTCCTATATGTGATAAATAAGGTAAAAAGGACGTAAAAAAACAAATTAATAGAAATTTACCACCGGGCAATCCATTAAGAGTGACAGGTACAGTCATACAATAGGTACAATAAATTATAATTATAAAAAATATAATGTAGACATAGGTGACTTTTGTTTGTGGTAAAGTATTGTAATGTACATTAATGTTGTCTGATCGAAAGCACATATTTTTATCGATTTAGTCGTGTCGTGGTGGTCGTCATCAACGGCGCAGCGAAAATGGCAAGGAAAATAGGCGCCGTTTAGACCGGAAAATTATTTACCTAGTCTAGTAACCTTGAACGAAAAACTCTTGATCGTACTGGAATAACCTTTCTATTAAAATCGTATATTATACATATAGATACTAATCTAAATGTTTTCTATTCGAATGTGAGGTAGTTTTGTATATGTGTACATAGAGCCATGTATGAAGAATGGACAATCTTGATACCAATCAATTTTAAAGAATAGCAGCGTAAATGTAATAGAAAATTATAACAAATTAAAGAAATAGTTGACGTGCATTGTTGAGCTTGGTGGCCGTGGTCCAGGGTTGCTTCTCTGTCTTGGATGGAGTCATTTATCCAACTTTTTGCCAACTGCAGTGATTGGCATCCTTAGGGAACGTGGCGAGGACGTAAAATCCTTTGTTACGGTTGTTGTGCACTACGTTCTTTGAGGACGCAAAGTACAGCAGCTGGCGAAACGTCGAATAGACTCTATCCACGCAACCACGGAATTACCGAACCAATCCTGGACTACTGCCGTCAGGCCTGAATAACAATCCCTCTTCGGAGCAGAAAGAGATTTTAAATTTCTGTTTTTATTGTTTCAAATAACGATTTTTCATTTGCAAAATTTACTTTCATTTTCAGTGATTCCCTTTGTAAATTGTGCGAACTAAGGAATATAGATTTGTTATCTTGCGAGGGTTGGTTACAAGACAGAGAAAATAACACAAGTACCCGAGTATCTTTTTCACAAGATACAAAGATATTAGTCGGTAGAAATATTGTAATTACAGGTAAGTTACTTTACAAAAGATAGTAGAATTGATAATTTTTATACAAACACTCTTAGCTAAAGGGTCCTCTAGTGCTAGACAAGAAGAAGCGGCAAAGAAATCGTCATCGGTAAGTTGTAGTTTATTTGCATTAACTGTTTTCATGTACCAATACCGAAACAAAAATTCTTTTTAGAGCATAAAATCCCGTACTTCTTTCAACAGTAGCGTAGATTTTCCGTCGTCCTCAAATTTAAATTTATCTCATGACAGTCGTTTGTCAGTACAAGACTTCGAAACAAATAAAAGGCAATGTAAACAAAGATGGTCTGGTTTATTTAGCAATAGCAAGGTAGGATTTGTTACATTTAAACTAATAATAATTAAATTGAAATATAGAACTAATGAAGAATTGATCAAATCTGCCAAACGTTTCATCTTCGGCTGTGCGAGACATCTTCAGTGAACTGTAGAATGATGTAGTATGTAAGGTTGTCGTAGAGTTCTCCGCCAACCATAAGACGAAACATTCGGCAGATTTAATTTCTACTATCGAACATGGTTCAACAGCTCGGAAAACATCAATTCAAATTCAATTCTTCATTAAATTAAAAGTAACTGTTTAACTGGTTACAATAATAAAGTAAGAAATAACGTTTTCCCAATTTTTATTACACCTACACTATCTGCGATACTTGCTCGTTTATATCGCGTTCAATAAATGTTTAAGGGAATGAAGTAAATCAAGTCTGCAAGGAAAGCAAAGACAGATTTATGGGGCAATACATGTACGCTATATAGGTGGGATAGGGATTGAAACGAAAATTAGGTCGGTTACTAATAAAGAAAATAACTCTAGTTTATGTTCTGACAGTATTCAGCTTGATTCACTTTCAACTTTTCCAATAATTAATTAATTCTTCCTTTTTAACAAATTTCACACAAACAGAATATCAAAATACGTTACTGAAACGGATTAATAATTTGAACGCCCCTCGTACTTTAAAAACACCCGTTGTTATTACAATACATTTGCTAGTAGATAATTATTTTGAAACATTTTTTTAACACTTAAAGAGAAATGCCCTTTTAATTATTTATATTATTAAACAGTATCAATCTCTCGCAATTGCGCTCTAAGAAATTGATCAAACAATTTTAGGACAATTCTAGAATGGAAGTTTTAGCCGAACAATTAAATTATTATGCGAAATATGGAGTGCCTACGTCCCAGGTTTATCCGAAAGGTCAATGCGAGTCGATAGACGCCTTATATAAACTAGAAAATGATTGGAAAGAAATAATAGATGCCGAACGTAAGTACACTAATACAATTTTTATTGTGTGTTTGAGAATATAGAATAGGTACAAAAGTACATACTTGTATATTTAAAATTTAATTGAACATTTGTTACAAACACAAAACAGCAATCAAATACACATGTCCCCGTTTAGTGCAATAGCGAGTTTATTTATTAGTAGCGAAATGGGTTCTAAAATATCCTTTTTGATGTAATAAAGCATTTTATTGCACCTGCGGGTGCACTAAATCTGTAAAAGTAACAATTTCGCCAAATCATCCAGAATAGTCTCTACTACAGTGTACAGCAATTCTGTCGATCGATTACATAAAAGTTACTATTACGTGGTTGTAAAATGAATTTACTATACTTATAACATAATATTTTATGTAAAATCGAGTTCAACGTATTTTACACTATGCAATATTAATATATTGGGTGTATATTGGGTTGCATACATCGATGTGTTTTAATTTGGACCCTGATGCAACCCTCAGCCGAAAAAAAAATGTATACTGAATTATCCTGCGTTGTCTGAAATGACCCTTTCTAGATAGATTTATCATCCCCTCAATCATAATTTGATAGCGTGTATTATGCATATATACCTATTTAAAAATTTTATTACATTTTAGAACTATGCGAAAGATCGCAACAGCAGCAAACTGCGCTATGGGAACTTATTAAAACCGAAGTAGCGTACATCAAAACATTAAAAGTTGTTACAGACGTAAGTAATAAACTCTTTAAAATCTACTAACCCCTTTGTTACTATTAAATTCATATATAGTAATTATTGCACGATCTTTTGCAGCTTTTTTTGGCTTGCTTACGAGATTTACAGTCGAGCAATTTATTAAAAGAAATCGACACAGATAAATTATTTTCCAACATTACCGAAATATTAGATGCGAACGTTCTCTTCTGGAGGAACAGTTTGTTTCCGTTGGTGCGCGATATGCGAAAATATAAACAGCCACCTTGTATAGAAAATATGTGCGAGGGTTTCCTAAAGATCAACGACATATTTCAACCTTATTTTAGATATTGTTCTGAACAAGCCAGATGTCAGCATTATTGTAGAGAAAACCACGCTCACAATGAACTGTTTACAGCATATTTGGCGTGGTGCGAAACTCAAAGGGAATGTAATCGGTAAGTATGAAGCACATTCATTATGAATGTCTATTATAAAAAACTTTAATTAAACAGAATAAAGAGTAGCTACGCACTTTAATTTTCTACATAATATGTAGGTACTTATTTAGAATAGCATCCGTGCCTGTTTCGCCAGACGTGGGGTAGTAATAAATGAACGTAAATATTAATAATTTCTGCATTACAACAATGATTCTCTGAATTTTTATTTTTACGTTAGTATATCCACCGTTTGGTCAGCGTAAGTCGATAAACTAGTCAAGCAGTGCTTGATTTAAAAATATTAAGATTTCGAACTGAAAAATTATTTTTATCAAAATAAAATATAGTCTGTATTAATCGGGGATAGTGTAGCTTTTTAGCAGTCAGAAAACTTTTAGAACCGGTTCAGTAAATAGTTCAAGATACTTAAATGCTGATATACATTCACTAAAGTATTTTTGTAGACTAAGATTAATGGACATTTTGGTTCAACCAATGCAAAGACTTACAAAATATGGTCTTTTATTGAAAGCAATTTTAAGGAATACCGACGACGACGTGGAAAAAGATAATTTAAATTTAATGGTACGTTCGCGCTTGTTATAAATCATTTCCTATTAAATCCTTTTTCTCCTTTTTGTTCAGATAATTATGATAAAATAAAAATATTACTTGTTAAAATATGTATCCCAATTTACATGTTCCACGTATTATGAACAGACATTCCCTGTTTATAAATACGTACTAGTGTGTGATTTGAATGTTCGTCACATTTTAGATAAAATCAGTTGATGATTTTGTCAATAATGTAAACTTCAGCTTGAAAAGAAAGCAAGACAATGAAAGAATAAAGGGCATTATAGCAAGAATAGAAAGTTATGATGTAGTGGTAAGCAGTATTTTAAAAAATGTTCTTATTCATTTAATACTTTAAAAACCTTTCATATTTACGAGAAAATTATAATTTTTTTTTGAAGGAATCGAAGGACGACGATGTAGAAAAACTTCTTAAAAACTACAGTCGTTTAGATTTAAATAAGCCGATGGTAGGTTGTTCGCCAGGCAGAAGAAGGCATCTGATTATGGAAGGGGACCTTAAACTTAAGGATAATACCATATCGAAGGTAAAGTATGCTATACATCTTCTATTCTTTTATAAAATAAAAAACCCGTGAAGTCAGGACAAGCCAAATTAACTTTTTTTGCAGACTGAAGTTCATTGCTTCTTATTAACAGATATGTTACTTATATGTAAACCATCGACAAAAAAGGGTGGGGCAACGATGAGAGTCATAAGACAACCCTACGTAATCGACCGATTAGTAATTAGTGAACTAAACAGGGAAACCCCCAGTTTGGCTTGTATTTACAAGAACGAATTTGATATGGCCGTTGCAGCATTTATATTGCAAAATAATGATGCCAAAAAATTGAAAGTAACTACCGTTTTTTTAAGTGGTTATAATAATTACAATACTAATATTATTTATTGTATTTAATAATAAGGTTTGGAAAGAGTCGATAATGAAAGCGCAATCGATTTATTCTCAAGCAAAGAAAGTTAATTACACAATGGAAGAGAGTTTAGATGCAGAATATTGTGCGGATTACAGCTTAGAAAGCGATTATCATAATGTACAGTTAGCACCGCGTTCGCCTTTAGCAGGTTCTTCTAGAAGTAGTCGCGTATCTAGCCTTGCACATAGTCACAGGTAATTTTTCGTTTGATTTTCATAATTTTTAAATTTCAACTAATAACTACTTATTGAATTAACGATCAAAACTTTCAAGTTTTCATGGGCTACGTATATCATATTGAGTATTTCCACTCTTGAATTGCAAAACAGTTGCAAAAGACAGCTACAACCAACAACCCGGAAGTCAAGAGTAGAAATATTCAATTAACAATATGCCCAAAAATAAAAGAATTAAAATATATATTTACACTTTTATGTACATTATTAAATTATAATTAGTCTTGTCCTNGTAACCCCATAACTTTTTATGGGGGTCTGACCGCCGCAAAATTTTTATGGTGGTTCACTTAGGAAGACCTCCTCTTTCAATCCCCCCTGCCCCTTCGGGGATGGGGGAAATTATCTAGACCTTTACCGAAGTTAATAGTAAAAAACTACATACAAACTGTTTTTCAAATTTTTAGGTAAATAATAGAGGTGCGTGTTCAACCATTTTTAGGAATGACGAGCTTATGATGATGCTGAATAAAAATACATAGTTATTCTTGAGTTTCTCAAAAATTAATTTTTGGCTAGTCTTTGTAATAATTCCCATTGATAGTAATGACTAAAGAAAAAGCATGAGGGATTGCGTTATAGGTATATGTATAAGGAAAATAATTTGAGTACACTTTTCGCTGTATGGGAGGTATTTATATATAGAAATGAGAGGGTGGGGGTGCAAACCATATACCGATAAATGAATGAGTTAAGGTTCCTAGACTTCTAAAGGATTTATGCGAGAATAATAAACGTATACAATGTATTAGAATTTGCGCTGATAGTATTATAAATATTATTATTGAACTACCCTAGTGCGAAAACAACAATATTGAAAAAAAAAATGATGTTGATGAATCAAAGTCTGGCGAAATAATAAACAATTGCAAATAATGTTTAGTGAAAATCTTTGACTTGTTTTGCAGTTGATTTACTATAAATTTTCATCAAACAAGAGTCACGTCACAAATCAGATTAAAAAATTGTCGGAATAGCGTTTAAATTTGAGCATTCATACAATCATTACAAATCATTTTTAAATTTAATTGTGTTTCTACGTCGTCATTCATTAATCTCGTACAATCACAAATGGCATGAATTTATTTAGACTTATTGATTAGAAAATGATGTGTACAGTAAATTAATAACAAGATCCGATACCTTCACAACAACACCCGATATAGGTACCTATCGTATTTTCTAAAAATTGACGTTGTCTACTGTACTAGGTAGTTTCTATTGGATTATCAAAATTAAATCTAATCAGTCCTGCTTTGAATTTATTTACAGTTCTTGTTTGTGTATTATTATTCGTCAGCCACAGCTCCGTTTCCCGTGTCCTTTGGGACAATAAANATTTCCACTCTTGAATTGCAAAACAGTTGCAAAAGACAGCTACAACCAACAACCCGGAAGTCAAGAGTAGAAATATTCAATTAACAATATGCCCAAAAATAAAAGAATTAAAATATATATTTACACTTTTATGTACATTATTAAATTATAATTAGTCTTGTCCTTAGCGGTTCTGTTGAAATCAACGAACAATCATCCGGCAACCCGTCGCACATGCCGTCAGGAGCTGAAACGACCGAAAACCGTACTGCTTCAATATCAAGTGATGACGGTGTACAATCTCTTCCTTCAGAAAAAAGTCCCGTAACTCATAAAAGTTTATTTAAACAACGAATGATATTGAAAACGCCCAATACCCTTTCCGTACAACCCTACGGAACCTTGGGGCAAAGTTTACCTAATCTTACGTTAGGTTCTCCGAATGTCGGGACCTTAAATTTAAACCTTAATCAAAACACTCTGTTGGTACCATCATCTACCACGAAGAACGGTGGACACCTGCTGAGTCCAACTCATAGGGGCATTTCGTACCCGCCCCCATCGCCAACGAGAGGTAATTTGAAACGAGGTCTTGCCATTTCTCAAAATAAGAATCCTCCACTAATCAAAACAAGGCATGTAACATCAACAACTTCCGGGACCAGTGGAGCCTCTGGAGCACAAATACCGACAAGTTTTGATTTCGATGTTCCTATTATATCAGGTATTAATTTCGAATATGTATAACATAATTATAAAATGTATCATTTGTGTGTAAATGTTAAATATCATTCATTTTCAGCCATATCTGCGAGATATGAATCGGATTATTTAAATCGAGACCAGAAAAGGCAGACTCTACTAAGAAATGAAAAAGGTGATCTTAGACGATCATGCAGCCCCGGAGCTGCCGAAGATGTTCCAGTAAGTAAATATTCTTGAAATTTATTAAAACAATATTAATTATCGTACAACTATGCCTAAGTAATGAAATAGTTATGCAGCAATTCCCAACTATGAAGCATTAGTTTAATTTTTAGTAATACAAACTACTACAATTTTTAATGATTACTTCCTCACTTGTGCATGCATTTGATTGCTGGACATGTTGACTGTACAGTACTGCCTGATGAACCAAAATGACGTTTAGAATAAACTTGTTCATCATTTCTAGCGATCTGAAAACAGAGATTTTAAAATGCACACGAAACCATCATCATGGAACGATAACGGTTCAAAAAAATTACGAGATCAAACCTAGCAGCAGAAAATATTTATTTTTGTATGCTGTTTATTATTGTTACCAATTTATTTATTATTAATCTAATCATAAGCTAATAACTGCATGACTGTGAGTAGAAAATACAAAATAATTAATTAAACTTACCGATATTACACATTATTATGGTCTCAGTTAAAATGTGATAGACAAAAATAGGGTTCTTTTAGTTCGTAATTAGATTATCTTTTGGAGAGTATGTACATACAGAACATACCATTATATGTACTGTCTTCATCAATTCATACTCTTGTACTAGTGGACCAAACACCACAATAATACTAATAAATACATTTGTCTATTAGTGGAAACAATTATGATAAACAAATTGTACAGTAATGAACATTCCAGTAATCTTTTTCTTAAGGAAAAAACATTCCGCGCAGTCACATACCATGTAGCATTCTTAAGATGTACCATCAAAATCAATAACATTAATCGAAACGCTTAAATACCTGTATATATAGTGTAGTTAATTTAGAAAGCAAATGATAGGCGTAAGTACGGCGCCTTATTTTATTTACATCAAAAGAGAAAAACTTCGTGAAACTCTGTGATCAAATGATCAAATAATTTGTTATAATGTACATTTACATTCACAACTAATGCATATTGGTAAAATTTATTTTCGAAAACGATAATTCAGTTTCTAGTTTATATAAAAAGGGTAGAAATACACAATTACAAGCCAACGAGGAAGTGTTTGCAGATATAAAAATGCAATAACTTTAACTGCTCTTTTGTATTTTTTATGCAAGCAAACTTAAGTCGTAAAACATTTTCTTTTTGTAGCAGATACTCTCAGGAATATAGAAAAAAAAAATTGTGTAGTACTGACAATGCGTTGTTATAATTTAGTAAATATTATATTGTTAAGTCGCCCATTCAATGTCAAGTTACATCGAAAAACTCGAACTGAATTAGTTGCGTACATAAAAAATACTTTATTGTACAAGTTCACGCTTAATTCAGCTTCTAGGATATAGTTAGTTAATTTTGGGAATTGTTGAAGTATGTTGTTATTTATTTTTTGCGTAGTTTTAAAACAATAAATCACTGAATAAGTAACATTTACATGTATGTAATTTAGTGTATAGAAAAAAAAGCTTTTATTAGGTGCAGTTTGTCTTTTTTAAATCTTTATTATACACGTTCTTTACTTTATCAATACTATCACAAGGTACAATTATTTCTAATAATTTTAGTATCAAATGGACCAAAGAAACAACTAATAAAAAGGGCCACACATAGCTAGACAAATACCTACAAGATAAAAATACAGATTTAAAAACATTATCACAAAACTGAGTTATTGATTTTACCTTTTTAATTGAACATGAATTGGCTTGGTTGGTCCAGTTATAATAACACTATCATAGACCTTAACAGTCCTTTTAGCTATATTTTCCCAGTTATAAAGTTTTCTTATAGTCATATTACATTCATAAGGACAAATGCATTTTCCATTTTCCAAATCATTTATTGCAATTTCCAATCCTACAATATAAAAAAAAAATTATAAATTGGCAGTAAGTTGTCATTTTGTACTACGTTTACCGTCAATTAATGATGAAACATTTGGTTCTCGTAAGTAGATTAAATCATCTGGTAAAACTTCAGGTATTCCTCCTACATTTGTGGAAACCACTTTTAATCTGAATGGGATACAAAAAAAATTCAAGTTGTACACATTTACATGATTAGAACTGCTTTCTATCATAAATAATGATAAAGAGAATAAATTTTATTATACCCACAACTTGCAGCTTCAACTATAGCCATACAATATGCCTCTGTAAGTGATGTATTGAGAAAAATGTGACCTCTATTTAGTACATGAACAACCTCAGAATGTTGTAACATCCCAACCAAAGTGATTCTGTGTTGAAGTCCTTTTCGTTCCCTTACTTCTTCTAGTAGCCTTTCAAATCCAATTATTGTTTTTAAGAAAAGGAAAGGAAAAATTACAAATAATTACCATCTTTTGGGTCCATCACCAGCTATCAAAAAAGCAGTCTGTGGGTACTTTTCACAAATTTCAACCATTATTTTTGCCAATAAATCTACACCCTTCCTGTAAACTAATCTTGAAACAACAACAATAACAACTGCAATTAAGTCATATTAAATTATAGTTTGGTTCAAAATGCAAGACAACTATTAAATATACTTTTATCTTTCGACCTTAATTCTGGTCTGGGCATAAAATGTATTGCATCAACAGCATTTGGAATGACTGAAACTCTTTGGCTACACTTCTCAAATCCAGCTCTTAAAACAGTATTTTCTTTACCAATATGCGACACACAAATACAATGGTCACACCCTGCAAGTGTTATCTGAAGAAATTTGTTTGTAATAACAGCACTAGCATCAGCAAAACCAAATAAACTGTGATCTGTAAATATAGTCTTAATTTAAATATAAACAAATGTGCTCTCAATAATTCACTGGTACCTTTAAACCCAATAAATTTCCAATAAGCATTGCTTCATGTGCAAGAGCTGAAAAGGCCGAATGACCATGCACTATTTGAATCTGCTCTCTTACAAAGATATAACGAATAATAGGAATGCTGGAGATCATTGTTGGAAGGACACACTGATTGTAAAAAACCTTTATAGGAATATAATACACTTTTAACAAGTTTGTAAGATAACGCACTCCAACGTTATTACTATAATTGTGTGTTATAACTACTACTTTATACCCCTTTTCCATAAGACACTGAGACAAATTATAGATATGTTCCTCAACACCTCCCATATTTGGATAAAAAAAGTCAGACACCATACTAGAAGAAACAACATGATCAATAGAAAAGACAAAAAAAAACAACTTACCATACAGTGACAACCATTCTTCTTGATGGATAAGTGAACAAATTAAAATTAGAAAATTATTTTCTCAAAATTAATTAGTCATCATAACCTATATAAGCATTACCCTAAAGACAACCCTACTATTTAACCTTAATTTCTGCATTTAACCCAGAAATTAAACTTAGTATGTTAGTAAACTGTCTCTTTTAATCTGGCTAGTGCGTTTTTAATAAAGGAACGATTATAAATTTAAAACTGAAGGATATTATCGTAGTTCACTCATACTTGATTGAAGTGGATTGGATCCATCCAAATGTTTATCATAGGCAAATGATATATCTTACGATTACGTTCATATACCTTGTCATACACATTTTCATATGATTTTAGTTATCATTGATGTTTGTGCTTTAAAGAAATAGATAAGTTTAGGGTTTTCTGCTTTGATTGTAGAAAGATTGATTAACAATACTAATTGTTTTATTAATAAAGTTGTCGCAAAATTTAAAATACCTAAAAGAAATTAAACATACAGTTGTTGCATAGACACTATTATCTTTTTGGGTATGTAAACATCTCTGGACATGTCATATCTATGTCATGACAGTTTGTCTATGATAATTTGATAATGGTCTATGATAATAGTATTCTGTCAGTTATGCTCAATTAATCGGTCGTTAATAATTTAAATTGTTACTACTATATTATAAAGTAGTTACTTCTTGTTAGGTAGGTAGCAATTTCGTATTTTTTTTTTTAATTTTCTATTTTCAGCGTCCGTTTTTATTTTATCATAAATTAATTTCTCCCTTTTTAAACCAGCTCAAAATACTAAAACGTATAGAATATCAGTGAAAGTAATTGTATACTTGAAAACTACTGAGTTGCCCTCTCAACCTCTCAATTTAAAAACGTCTTTATTTTTTATAANAAAGGAACTAAAAGGAAGAACTGAATATGTAAACCATTCTTGTGTTAAAAAATATTTTGTACTTTAGTTTGTTTTTTACTTATAAACCATTGAAATCTTAATAATGAAGATATTATTCCTTAATACAATTAAAAAACCTAAATTTCTTACTTATTAAACGAGCTGAAAGTATCAAACTCTGTTAAAGTTATTATGAGACATTAGTATAGTTTTGCAGTTGGAAATTAATGGGGAGCACTTTCAACCCCTAATTTAAAAATTTTTATAATAAAATCAATTTCTCCTGCAAAAAAAACATAAACATTTATTGTTCTGAAGGAAAAACATAAAAATTATTATTTTTCTGTGTCCATTTAGCTTCAAAGATGAGCCTTGAGTTGCTTTTTTCTTCACTGGAAATAAGAATAAAACAAGAGCAATGCAAAATCGTTTATTGAAGAAAGAGTTTGTGGCATAAAATCGGTTACTTTTTTGACATACTAGGGAGTTGCAGGACGAGAAGGTAAGAACTTTTTAAAAAGTTTTCAATGAAAGAATTAAAACTACTAGTGCTCCATTAACGACGAGAATACTTTGCAGTACAGTGGGTTGCCGATATTAAGGACGAGGNGAGAGTAAGGGAGAAAAGTGAAAAGGATTAAATTTTTAAATTTTCGACCCATGAGCGAGTGCAACTGGATATTTATTTGACTTCTACTGAAATAATAAATTCTCTGCTGCAGTATTCCTCCTTGAGTTGGTTTACTTTTCACACCTGTAAACTTTGGAGTGTTACGTTCTATAATTAATTAAGGTGAGGATACTTAAAATAATTAATTTTAATTGCTCTTTATTGATCTGTTTGCCACCGTATCTGTTTCAGATCGACGTTGGAGAAGACAAAGATGACCCAGTAGTTGAAATAGTTCTTTGGTTTGATTGATTCATATTCTATTCTTATTCTTCGTATTTTCCCACAGCATAAATTAAATTGACAACTTTTAAAGTTTATATCTTGACACAGACATCAGGTGGGCACGTCGCCATTTTTAATGTTTTGTTATTTTATTCGTTTTTGACTGGTTCTTTATTACGTGTTTTTGTTTTACTTCATGTTTCATTTGTTTAATACGAGTGTTTAATTCTTTTTTTTTTGTCAATTTTCGGCATATATTTTGACTTTTATTTGAGAGTAAGGGAGAAAAGTGAAAAGGATTAAATTTTTAAATTTTCGACCCATGAGCGAGTGCAACTGGATATTTATTTGACTTCTACTGAAATAATAAATTCTCTGCTGCAGTATTCCTCCTTGAGTTGGTTTACTTTTCACACCTGTAAACTTTGGAGTGTTACGTTCTATAATTAATTAAGGTGAGGATACTTAAAATAATTAATTTTAATTGCTCTTTATTGATCTGTTTGCCACCGTATCTGTTTCAGATCGACGTTGGAGAAGACAAAGATGACCCAGTAGTTGAAATAGTTCTTTGGTTTGATTGATTCATATTCTATTCTTATTCTTCGTATTTTCCCACAGCATAAATTAAATTGACAACTTTTAAAGTTTATATCTTGACACAGACATCAGGTGGGCACGTCGCCATTTTTAATGTTTTGTTATTTTATTCGTTTTTGACTGGTTCTTTATTACGTGTTTTTGTTTTACTTCATGTTTCATTTGTTTAATACGAGTGTTTAATTCTTTTTTTTTTGTCAATTTTCGGCATATATTTTGACTTTTATTTGAGAGTAAGGGAGAAAAGTGAAAAGGATTAAATTTTTAAATTTTCGACCCATGAGCGAGTGCAACTGGATATTTATTTGACTTCTACTGAAATAATAAATTCTCTGCTGCAGTATTCCTCCTTGAGTTGGTTTACTTTTCACACCTGTAAACTTTGGAGTGTTACGTTCTATAATTAATTAAGGTGAGGATACTTAAAATAATTAATTTTAATTGCTCTTTATTGATCTGTTTGCCACCGTATCTGTTTCAGATCGACGTTGGAGAAGACAAAGATGACCCAGTAGTTGAAATAGTTCTTTGGTTTGATTGATTCATATTCTATTCTTATTCTTCGTATTTGCCCACAGCATAAATTAAATTTAGAAAACTTTTAAAGTTTATATCTTGACACAGACATCAGGTGGGCACGTCGCCATTTTTAATGTTTTGTTATTTTATTCGTTTTTGACTGGTTTTTTATTACCTGTTTTTGTTTTACTTCATGTTTCATTTATTTAATACGAGTGTTTAATTCTTTTTTTTTATCCATTTTCGGCATATATTTTGACTTTTATTTGAGAGTAAGGGAGAAAAATGAAAAGGATTAAATTTTTTGCGTAACAGGTGTCTATTAAATGAATTAATTAATAATTAATTAATTTGGATGCAACCGGAACAACAAATTATCTGCAGTAGTATCCCTCCTAGATTTGGTTGATTAGCTCATCACACTGGCAGACTTTAGAACGCCAGTTCCTGCAATTAATTAAGGTGAGGATACTTGATATACTTAATTTTAATTGCTCTTTATTAATCTGTTTGCCACCGTATCTGTTTCAGATCGACGTTGGAGAAGACAAAGATGACCCAGTAGTTGAAATAGTTCTTTATCTTGCATGCTCTATCTAGTAGAATTCATTAAGTTCGTTTTATTCAAATTAATTTTTTATTTTGCATGTTTTTTTTGTTTTTT